TAAGGGGCCGTGGTCACTAACAGTTACACTAGTCTAAAATCCTTTCCAGAAGCAACTGTGACAAACACTGCCGGGCGTTCCATACTTACATCGTGCAACACTGCACATGTACCATTAAGGGGCCCAGTAGGGAAATTGAATTCAGAAAAGATTAAGAGTAGTGAACGGTACAGCTAGCTGGCGGTCGCCAGCTAAAAATGGATAAAAAAATAAAAAATAAAAAATGGATAAAAATAGATAATAATTAATTAATTAATTAATTAAACGAATCGTCTTCCTTCTTTAAAAATTTAATGAAGTGTCAATACTTCCACGTACGCTTTGCCCGAGAGGGGGGGGGGGGGGGCGACTGAATTCAGACAAGTACACGATACAAGGAATCTTTCTCTGATAATTTAATGAGACGTGAAAGCTTACGCGCTTCGCGCGGGATGGGCTAAAATGAATTCAGACAAGGATTAAGAGTAGTTTAATGAAACGTCAAAGCTTCCGAGCTTCGCGCGGGAGGGGGGAACTGAATTCAGACAAGAACACGATACAACGAATCGTCTACTTTAATAATTTAATGAAATGTGAAAGCTTCCGTGCTTCGCGCGGGATGGGTGAAAATGAATTCAGACAAGGATTAAGAGTAATAATTTATTGAAACGTCAAAGCTTCCGCGCTTCGCGCGAGATGGGCGAAAATAAATTCAGACAAGGATTAAGGGTAATAATTTATTGAAACGTCAAAACTGCTGCGCTTCGCGCGGGAGGGGGGGGGGGGGGATACTGGATCCAAACAAGAATTAAGAGTCGAGAACGGTACAACGGATCGTCTTCTTTCTCCAATAATTTAATGAAGTGTCAAAGTGTCCGCGCGGGAGGGGGAGACTGAAAATAACTTAGTTCCTGGCCCCGGGGTTATAGGGTTAAATTTGTAGACATTTGGACATTGGCATTAATATATTTGTCAGTAATTGGTTGCTCGTTTTGTCGGTAATCGGTGGCCTCTACACCCTCCCTACTACCCCACTGACAAAGATCTAGCGACGCCCCTGATAACGACACCATTTATACACTCGAGAAAATTTTTGCAAGTACTACTGATGAAGTACCGGACCATCGTCTTTGTGCATTGTGCGGCATCAAAGCATATACAACGTCTCAAGACGTGACAGATCACTTTTCTCTAACTTCTAACCAATCAGAAGGCCTCGTTTTTTCTCTCCAGGAAGTGTCGATGGACATTAATGCGCCAAATGTGGTTGTCAAATTGCAAGAAAACCCTACTCTTGGAAGGGGTAGGACAAAGCAATTTTATGTCATATTACGCCAGGAACTGCCTGAAAATGCGTCTAATTTGGTTCTAAAATTGCAAATGCTTCTTACTCTGGGAGGGGGCCAAAAAACCCTCCCAGACCCACCCCCGCTTGGTCACTCCGCTCCCTCGCCGCTAAAGCCTCGTTCTATCGCTTCGTCATTTTACATATATTTAACCCCATGCCATTTTGTTCCCCCCCCCCCCGTAAGAAATTCCTAGATCCCTCACTGATGCCCATACCCCTTGAGCTTCGGGGGCTCCGCCTCTTGACCCCCCGCCGGGGCTTTGCTCCTAAACCCCCCTTTGCGAAACGTTCAGCGGGGCCTGCATGTTAGAGTGGGGTGCTGCGGATTCTTTTTGTCAGCCCCCCAAACGTTTTTGCTCATTACGCCACTGGAATAAACCAACCAGAATTGACGGCCAATCTTCAACTCTTATAGACAATATTTTTTTCTAATATCTTTGATAAAGACATTACCAGTGGATTAATAGATTCTGATATATCTAATCATTTGCCAATTTGTTTAATATGTAATAATGAAATTACGATGAAAAAGTCAGCTAAATCAAACATGAACAGAAGAGAAACACACCCAAAATATTGAATCATTAAAAAGTGACCTAGCAATAGAAGAATGGTAGGCCGTGTTTAATGAATCAAATGCAGACGAAAATATTAATACTAACTAACAGATATATTATGACAAAAATTTCCTCTAATAGCGTCAGCGACCAAGAAAATGAAGAGTTGTAAATTACCATGGATAACAAAAGCAATTCTACAATCGATACACACGAGGAATAAACTGTATAGGCTAAGGCTTATCTAACGTACTCTACTATTCATAACAAAAACAAATAAAAATGAAATAACCGATATAACCAAAAAATCTAAAATTATGGTAATCACAGGGTCACGATAGAATTAGTGCTTTCTTTCTTAAATACATCATGCACTTTATCGCTTTTCCTTCAACTCACATTTGTAATATATCGATTAATACCGGGAAATGCCCCGAGTCCTTGAAAATTGCTAAGGTAAATCCAATTTTTAATTCAATCCTCACGAAATAAGTACTTACAGGCCTATTTCTATTTTCCCAGCCTATCCAAATTCCTAGAAAAGATTATTTACAATAGGCTTAATACATTTTTAGATAATTTTCTAAATTTAAATCAATATGTTTTCAGATAAGGACATTCAACCTACCAAGCTTTAGTACAACTATATGATAAAATAACGAATGCTATAGTCAATGGCCAACATTTAATAGGAATATTAGGGACTTATCAAACAACTTTGATACGCTTGACCACTACATTTTACTGAAAAGCATTACTGTTGTGGAATTCGTGGAATTGCACTGTCGTGGTTTGAGCGCTATTTATCGAACAGAAAACAATATGTAGTGTATAATGATGTTTTTCAAATGTTCTGCCTACCAAATGTGGAGTACCACAAAAGTCAATATTAGGCTCTTTGCTCTTTCTATTATACAACACCTTTATTATCATTTGTGATATTTGCTGATGACACGAACAGCTGCTGTTCACATTATAATTTAAACACTTTAGTAAATACATTAAATAATGAGTTACTAAAATTATCCCTATGGTTTCAATGCAATAAGTTATTCCTCAATATAGATAAAACAAATTTCATGTATTTCTCATGTCATCGACTTTCCTTACAACATAATTATAGATAATGTCCCTCTCGAAGAAAGAGAACAACAACATTTTTGGGTGTCATCATCGATGAACATTGAAATTGGAATCAACATATGCGTCATAATTATAACTACTTCTATTTCTAGGATTCTGGGTTTATCATATAAAACAAAGAAATTAGTCCCATTTTATACGCTTGTTATGCTTTATAATTCATTAATATTTTCGTATATGACATATTGTAATGTAGTATGGGCCACCAGCACCAAAACCAAAATCAACTCTATTTATTTATAGCAAAAGAAAGCCCTTCGTATATGTACTTGTTCACCATATTTATCTCACAAAAGCCCAATATTTTACAAACTGAAAACCCTAACAGTATTCGACATAAATTTGCTACAAAGTTTACAGATCATGTTTAATTATTCAAATAATATGCTCCCTCTTTCATTTCAAAACTGTTACGCTATAAATAAAGCCATTCACTCCTATCCTATCAGTTATTCCTCAGATTTTCATCTAGTCCACCCGAAATTACTTATTGCCTATAGATCTATTAGACACCATGGTCCAGACCTATGGAACTCTCTCCCAGAATCTATTACATCATGTTGCACCCTACTCACTTAAGGCCAAAGTTAAAACGATGTTATTATGAGAACATTCAAGGTAAAATTTCTGTGTCAACTCTTCAGTCTTTATCATAATGTCATCTCTTCTTTCATTCGAATCATTATCATCATCGTTATCATCATCATCATCATCATCATCATCTTTATCGTCATCTTCATCTTTATCGTCATCTTCATCCTCATCCTCATCTGCATTGTCAATATCACCACCATTAAATACGTATTTCAATTACCTATCCGTTCTGCTGAATAAATGTGTTACTAGTAATCTATTTCATGAGTTTTGTCTGGGGCTGCTGTATTATGAAGCAATCTGCTTAAAATGACAGTCCTTCTTCTGCAAATAATTTCTATTGTTTGAGGAAACTTAGTATTATTTTTTTTAGTGACAGTTTGTCATTTCGTTTATTTAAATAACAATTGTTATATATATTCGCTAATTTATGATTCATTGTCAGAAATATACTTCTTGTACTTTATATTATTATTCTTATCGAGAAACTTTGTACTTTGCAGAAGAAAATGAATTAAACCCAAATTAAAAAAGATTTGAGAATAACAGGAGCACAGGACGCAGAAAAGGAAGCCATGGTAATTTATGACAACTTATCGTCATTGTTTTCTAATTGGATACATCAGAGAAAATGCTCAAGTCCATCAGCATAGTTTTTCTTTCAGTTATTAAGATAAAATGTTATATTTCACGATAAGTTTGAAAGCATGGTTTCTTCTTCACAGAATGATTTGTACATGGACATATATACGTAATTAATCAAGACAACATATTTTATCTCTCAAAATTATTTAAAAAAAAATTCCTTCTTGGTAACTCCAATTTATTTCGATAAGATTGCCGGATCTTTCTCTTTCTCATGTATTCAATCCTTAATCAGCACATTAAGATATATATATATATATATATATAATAATAATTATTATATTTGCTTTATATAGGGCCTAACGCTTACTTTATCAGAAGTCTCTATGCGCTCTACAAAAATGCAGCATAATTACGCTGGCTATAAGCAGAATAGCTGATACACGCTCTGCGTTTCAAAGAAAAATTCTTATCAGGTCCCCATTTACTTCACCTGGGTGAAGTGTGGCAAATGTACATCAATGTCTTGCCAAAGGACATTAGTGCCGCGGCGGGAATTGAAACACGGACCTTATGATCGACAGTCCGGCGACGTATCCACTCAACCACGACACCTCTACTGATATATTGATAGTTTAAATGCCTGGCACGTTGACATAATCTCTGTTCCTGGCGTCATTTAATTCTTCGTAGTTAGCTTCCTGATCAGGCTTCTTAAGATCTTGGTAGGTATGAGGGTCGGTAAGATCCTCGTAGCTCTGATCAGCAGTATTAATGTCTTGGTAGGTATGGACGTCTGTCTTTGACTGATCAAATACAGGGTTCTCATACTGCGGAGACGAATCGGACTCCTTCCCTTTAGACTTAGTAGTGGCTGATTCATCGCTGAAAGTTAATAATATGAAAGCAAAGATAAATTGCATTGAAGAAATACATAGTTTTACAAATGATAAAGTCCAAATAACAGATATATAGAAATATGTCAACACGGCATGTGGGAATTCAGTTTCAGTTTCAGTTTCAGTTCATTTTCATATTTCACATGTTGTATAATACATCATTACATTTGGCATGTTATATTTTGTACTCATTTTAGGATGCGTTTATACTAACAAAGAGAATAATACATAAGACTAAGTTGTATAAAGGAAGAAATATGATGGAGCCTTAAGAGAAATTAATGCTTGTAGGTCATAGGCTCCGGAAGTTATAACAATGATATAGTCTTGTGTTTATTAAAAACCGTAATGAAGAAAAAATAACAATATTCATATACTTAGCAATATTTGTATTACATTTTCACTACCCGTACGCGATGGCAATTCTCATGGTATGGTACCTTGGAAATGCGTGTCATTAACATAATAAGTCTTACAAGTGGGTTGCCATAACATTTAAAAAGCGTTATGCTTTAGACTATCTACATTGGGTCCCAATAAATTGGTATATATTAACATGTAAACATGACAATTGGCATGTGGGAATTGGTATGGTACTTTTAAAATACATGTAAGTAATATAATAAGTCTTTTAAAGGCCGTCTGGACTAATTTGGCTAGGAGGGATTAGTCCATCCAGGGTGGTCACTGACATGTGGCTATCTCACCAACTCAGCTCTCAATTAACTTTAAAAAAAGAGGATGATGGGTGACCAATGGTCACCAATTAGGCATTGTTTCTATATATAGGGAGCAAGTAGCTACAAGTAGTACAGTGGGGCTTTAAACTGGTTTCCATTGCATTTAGAAAGCGTTATGCTTTAGAATATTTACATTGAATAGCAAATTTTAAAAATGAAGAAAGTATTCAAATAAATTTATAAATCATATTTCAGCTTGCATTGTCATGCCCATACAGTATTAGCCATATGCGTGGAGAAGTACGATGAGAATGGACTGCTGTGAGGGACGAATTAAGTACAAGGTATCTCTCTAACCTTCTTCGCTTGTAAAAGAAGATGATGAGAATTATAACGATAACAATCACAACAATAGCACCAACAGCGCTTCCTACAACAGTTGCTATGGAACTTGACGAATCTGATTCTGGTGGAGAAGAGAAAGTAGTTGAAGGGAATGGTGTTGGAACTAGGATTGTAGTAAAAAGAAAGTTAAATTACAAACACAGTACTGGTCTACTCCTCTGTCGTCTCCAATCTTAAAATGCAATTTATTCATTTCCAAACGAGAGTATAAGACTTTCTTTTGACATTCTTAACGTGTAATGTAATTTTAAACGTATTTTTAACAATCTTTTTAGCGTGTCAATATTCAAAAAATGAGATTGATTTAATTATGTATTTATCACCTAATCATGTCAACGTGTAAACATGAATAATCCAGCTTCTGCTGCTTTTCATGCAAAATGACAATTCCAATGCATGTATTTTGAAATTGCATAATAAACCATTATTGAATTGAAATAAATAGACTATTTCGTAGTTAGCACATGGGTCAAAATAATGACCCCAAATATCTGCAGATCTTCTACTCATGGAGAAGTCCCACTTTGTGTATTTTAGAATAATCAATGCCAAAGTCATGTATGTGCTGCATAAAAAGCTTTTGTTTGCCCTCTTGTATCATATAATGTACCATAGGTGCACACATGAATAATAGGGACTTTTAGATTTGCACAAATATAACGTGGATTGCTACGATCGACGTCCTTTTAATGCACTGCCTTGAATGGACGTCACACGTATCAGTTCACGCAAATCTAAAAGTCCCTATTGATTACATAACATGAACACGTATTCATCTCGGTGGGTTTTACAATGTTATCACAAATGACCTTTATCTGCCCATGCGCAGATAGTATTTACGAAATGGCTTATTGAATTGAAATGTAAAAAAATTGTTTCAAAAATGTTAAAAATACGAAGGTAGCATCATAGTTGGTAGCTAAATAATAAATATATCAGATACTAGATTAGAAATATCATGGTAGCAACAGAGTTGATAGATAAATGATGAATGAATTAGATACTAGCATATGATCATATTTGATTGTAATGACTAATGGAATAAAAACAGGCCGGTCCCAGTAGTTTGTTAACACCACAGCTGAACATTTATGATTCACATATGGAAAGCTGTGTGAGTGCCTGCGCTCCAGAGGGTGCGTGCGTGTATCAGTATGTGATTATTGTTCAATAAATGGGAAATATATGGGCTTAGGGTGTTATTATCGAAAGCGGATTAACTTTAGTCCATGGTTTAATCCTCCGACTAAGTATGGAATGTCAAGTGTCCATATGGATATGATTTTGAATAATTTGGTATGTTCCTAAATTACCATAACATAATTATTTCATAATTATATTGTTTATTAATAATGTTATTACATTCAATTTTAATTTAATGACAGATTAAATTATTCAAAAATATATTCATATGGACACTTGGCATTCCTTACTTAGTCGGAGGATTAAACCATGGATCAAAGTTAGTCCGCTTTCGAGAATACCACCCTGAAGGGAGAGAGTAAAAAGATGATTGAAAATGGCTCATAAGTCAGGGGGAAATGAAATATAGAACCTACCATTTTCAGTTGTAAATGTCATTGCTGGTCCTTGTTCTCCTTCACCGTTGATACCATCTCGTATCGCTGCAATCTGAACAGAGTATGTTGATCCTGCTTCAAGTCCACTGACGTTATACATGACCATCTCAGCGGCACTCTCAGCAGACCTCTTCGATACGGAACGGTCCGTATTGTTCACCATGCTTGGAGGCTGTACTTCTTTAGCCAGTACGACATTGCTACCTGATCGCACGTAGATCTTGTATCCAACAATAGGTCCTTCCCCGGTATCGGAGCGAGGGTCCCATTGTCTCCAACCGATGAGTGCATGGTAGTATCCAAATTCAAGTACTTCTGGTCCACCATTATAACTTGGTAAAACTACAAAATGTAAACAAAATAAACACAGAAAAAGTGGGTAAAAGTATAGGACGAATTTATGGTAATTCAGTGGTTCCTTCCTTCCCCGTCCGCCCAGAAAATAAGAGAAAATAATAAGCAGGTAACAAAACCATTAATTATATATACTAAGAAAGCGTATAACTAGTATTTTACTATACTACCTGCAATGTATTACATGATATAAATATGGGACATGATCTTTTGAAATTAATGTATGAAATATTTGAAAAACTAATGGCCACACGTGCATTTTGGAAAATGACCCGGCTCAAAACCCGTCTACATTTCTGGATAAATCTTGAAGTACATCAAGATCCAAAACTGAAATTAAAATAAAATACAAAGCTGATCAGGAAGTATAACTATTATGCTTGGAAAGCTTTTTGTGTGTTTAATACATGGAATCGTTTTTTTTAGAATGCATAGATAATCTTAAAACATGTAGAGTACAACATTGAAACTCTCGCAAAAGACTGCAGTGGGGACTGCTTACCAAAGTAATATCTTGGAGGTAGCCTTACGAAAGCAAACTCTGAAGTATTCTCAGTTACCCCGATGAAGCAGTAAATTGGTTCTTCTGGCCCCGTATACTCGTGGATGAATGAAATATTGAGGGTTGGTCCTGATGTATCAGAGCTATTACGAGTTATCCATGTTTCCATAAAAGGCCTTCCTACAGCTGCCTTCACATAATCAGAGGGAAGATGTTGCCCTGATGACGCTGTAAAGGAACAGGAGAAGATCGCAACTCCTGGATTGGTCTTTTCCAAGCTCGTCTCAAAACGATCTAAATTTGTTGAAAGAAGACAACAGCATAATGAAACTAGTAGAACAGTTCAACAGACAGACGGAGAGGAAGAGAGAAATAGTGCAAGCGTATGACACAATTTTAAAAACTTTCAAATATATGAACTTAAGGGCAATATCCAGACTCCACTGTATAGCGAACATTCATAAACTTCTTTCAATTTGTCTAGCATGTCTTTGCCATGAATTAGTACAATTGATAGGTGATGATGAAAGGAAATGTGTTACATAATCATGAGGACTGAACTGCGTTCTTCTTCTTCCACTCGAGTACATACCTCTTTACAGAGTATTGTCGTACTATACTGGGGTGTGCAGGTAGACCACTACAGCGGGGTTCCCCCTACTCTTATACGAATAGTGCAGTGTGTTCTTAATGTGCAAAGGTAGTGACTCTTCTCTCCATTTAACGTCCAATCAAAATATATATTCTTCTGTGCTCACTGCTTGACTTATATAAGCAGCTCATAATTATTAATGAATGTGTTTTTTATATTAATAAAACTATGTACTATGGAATAATTTAATTATGTTGAATTTCCCTAATATATATCAGACACTTGACAGGAGAAAGGTATTTCTGTCAATCCTAGCTACCTGTTTGGCATTGATCCCCCATCCATCTTGGATGACAGGTGGATGACAAACAATCACCAGTCAGAAAGTTACAATCCTCAGCACCACCAGAGCAATGACATGTCTTGGAACAAGAGCTGAAACATCCTGAAACTAAACATGATAAATAAAGTACATTCTATCATTCATAAAACTAGAATTTAAATTGAAATGAATAAAAGGATATCGCATAACATTTGTGTAAAATGTGATTTAATGAGAATAAACCGATACAAATGTTCAAGTATACTTTTACAAAGCATTTTACAGGTGTTTCAAATAGCTAATCTTATTAGTAAACAAGTTTACCAACGGGTATTAAGAGCTGTTGGTTATCTCAATTCAATTCATTTATTCACTCAATATATAAAAACAGATACATAAAATGGAGTATGAACGCATATGATAAATATAAAAAAAGATGGACATAGTAAAATCAGGAGTTGGAAGCACAAGCAACATAAATTGAGTGGGGATCAGATATTTCAAGCTCTTGTGAATTTGACCCAATTGTAATTAATAAATTGTATTGAATATTTTTGCATGTACCACAACAAGAGGGAATGAATACATGTACATAAACAACTGGGTCTGGGGATGTTAATGGTGTAATATCGATGTATTTCAATAATCGTCAGAAAATATACATGGAAATGGGTTTGCTAAATTGATATATCGTTAAAATGGTAGGGACTTTCATGCGAGCATTTGTTTGTAAACTTTGTTGTATTTCAGTTTGAAATATCACTAAGAATAGTCTTACATGTCATACAGTTGGCTGGAAACTCGACAGAGTCAGAAACATATCCCAAGTCGCATCGCCCTTCAACCTCGTCACAGTATCCAGAATCTTTACGGCATGCAGTGCCATTCATGCAATTGCATATCTGTGTACAGTTGGACCCGAAGTATCCGTTCGGGCAAACAAAAGGAACTAAAATGAGAAAATATACATTTTTTTAATTAAAACAAAAATTATGATTGAAAAAACACAAGTCACTGGCAGTATAGTTAAGATAAGGACATTCCTTTAATATGTATACTTATTTATTATTTCTACTCAAGACATTTACTTTGTCATTACGTTAAAAACAAAAACAGAATGAAGGCAACTTGCATTTTTATTCCGTAAATTGTTAGTCAGATTACCGTTTAGAAAATGGTAAAGAAAATACAAAGACCATTTTGTTTTCTAGAGATGGAATGAAATTGTGGCATAGGAATATTTTACAAAAATTGGCTTTTTAAACAAAAACTAAAAGGTATTACGTTGGTAGAAATACTCAACATAAAAGTTTTGGACTTATCTCGGGTGTTTCTTTTACCAAGGAAATAATAATCAGCATTCTTATGAACGTTCATATGTCATTTTTAATTAAATTAAATGATTGTACCTTGACATGCTGAGCCAGACCATCCTTGCGAGCAATCTCCAGTACATTGTCCAGTGACGTCATCACAATCTGCTCCATCAGTGCAGTGACATTCTTGAAGACAATCAGCTCCAAACATACCATTTGCACATGCTATAGGACGAAATATTACGAGATTCGTGAATCTGTTGACATATTGTTTTAATGAATTTGCTCCCAAGAACATTTTTCATTCGCGTGTGACCTAAGCATACTTTCTGTTCAAGTAATACACATGTTGAGGAACGACCATGATTATCTCCAAAGTGTAATCCATTTTAGACAAATCCTGTGAAAGGATTTAGTATTGAACTGTGCAAATTGTTTAAAACACAACGTCATAACCATTGTTGCTTATCAGTTTCTGTTTTCTTCCAAATTTCAATCATTTATAGAAACCGTTTTAGCACTTACTTTCATTGCAGTAGATTCCTGTATATCCAGCTAAACAGGTGCATCCATAAGGATCAGGTAGACAGATCTGACTTCCAGCACACTTGTCCAGAGGCTGACCGGATCCACAATCAAACTCACAGTCCCAGCCAAACTTATGCATCCCACACGCTGCATGGAACATATATATAATTCAGAGTGTTTAATTTAGGTATAAATCACAAGTTCTAAAAGGGTCCTTTCTCCGAATTATCAATGTTTTTCTTCATGTAAGTGTAGACTTATTACTGATAAACATCGAAATCAACTGTATGTTATGTTATGATTTTAATTTTTATGAATTTTGTTTTTTCAAAATAATTATTAATTATTATTTTTATTGTTATCATCATCATCATAAGCCTTCTTCTTCCTCTTTACCTTTTCTTCTTCTTTTCTTCTTATTCCCTTTTTAATTGTTATCGTTGTTGTTATTATTAATCATAAAACGATAAGTATCTAATCGTAAAGATTCATCTTAAAGGCAAAGAATGTATAAGTTAAAGAAAAAAGGGTTTATATCTTAGTATTTTCTTTAGGGATTTCTCGATTTTACCTTGGAGGCAGTTCTTTCCAGCATGGCAAGGAGGACAGATACATGTTCCTGAGAGTTCGTGGCATACACCTCCATTATAACAACTATCACACAAACGATCGCATAACGGCGGATTCCATCTTCCGTAGGGGCACTCTGTTAATGCAATGAAACATGAACAAGTCAATTTATGTTTCTAGGACAATTACCCCTTGGTCAATAACCCCCCCCCCCCCCCCCCCAAGGAAAACCACCCCTCGAGGACAATTACCCCCCCCCCCCCCAGGACAATAACCGTCCTTGAAAAATTACCTCCTTGGACAATACCCTCCCCCGAAGACAATAACCATCTGAATATTGCCCCTTTGAAGAATCAACACCCCCCCCTTCTAGGACAAGTGCCCCCCCCCCCAAAAAAAAAAAAAATTAAAAAAAATAAAAAATAAATAAATAAAAATATATATATATATTATCAGGGTGGACTTCCTCTTCAATGAACAGGGGGTAATTTTCTGGGGGAATTGTCCTCGGAAGTGGTTGTCCTTGGTTGTCCTGGATGATTATTGTCCAAGGGGGTAAATTTCAGGGGGTAATTGTCCTAGGGTGTGATTGTCCAAGGGGGTAATTTTCAGGGATGGGTAATTGTCATAGGGTAATCATTTTCGGGGGGGGGGGGTTATTGTCCTTGGGGTAATTTTCCGGGGATGATTGTCCAGGGGGTAATCGTCCTGATACTTTTAATTATTAGTTCATTGTAAACAGTTAGAACCACACGATTAGGACATGAAGCTGTTACATGTAAAGTCTTGTAAATCCTCGATTAGGCTTAATACTGCAGAAACTGTCATTCGATTACGGAAATTAAAATTTTACATTATATTATTTACTGTCTCATCAACCAAAATATATCTGGTCGGTTTTGGTCGGTTTTTCTTGATTTGTTATATTACATTCGATTAATAGTTACAGAGCTGAAGGGAGAATTGTTCCTGTAAGTTAACACCCTTGCGAACATTATGTAATGATATATTATCGACGTGTAAAATAGAAGAAATCGAACCCTTTACGATGAGTCTTATGAAGCTGAATTGATGTTGTTCCAACGTTCCATCCTCGTAAGTCACATACACACCGGCGTCTGAGACAGATGCAGATTGGATTGTGTGTGATAGACTACCAGAACTCATTCCGATAAGTGAATTAGCCCAGTCTGCATCAGTGATTTTCCGCCATCTGATCCCGGCTTCACCAACCATCTCTGTCGTGCTCATCACACTGAGTGTGATATCATCTCCAACGTGTACTGTCTTTGTAAACCGACCATCACTGGGTTGCCATTGGCCTACGAAATGAAGAAAAAACAGATAAGAAAGGAAAAATCGACAATTCAATCTCGCATTTGAATCTTATTTTTTCTGATTCATTAATATTTCGTCATTACTCCTTTCATATTCTTTCTTTTTCTCTCCCTCTTATTCCATTAATCCTCCGTCATGTTTACATTTGCATTGACTAAAGGTTCTTAAGAAGTAAAAGTAGGTAATATTATTTCAAGATTATTAACATTGATGGTATTTTTAGGAGTGTTCGAATTTCAACTTATTCAGAACATTTCCTATTTAAAAAATATTTACAATAAGTTGAATTTGTGTTGTATATACTCATAAAACATAGGCCAATGTAATCATATATACGTACGGGTAGAAGGAAGAATGCCAAGAGGAGCAGATGTCATTCTACTGGCTGTCACCGCAGAACATTCGAAAAATCCCAAGCCATCCATAGTAGCTAGAGTCTGCCTTAACGCTAAAGATGATACAGTATCACTGTTTCCTGGAGCTGTGTAACTATCGGAATCTATAGCCTCGGTCAGACGGACAAGTCTTCTGGTGGACAATGTGAGAATCTCTTCATTCTCTGAGCCGAGTAGACAGACAAATGAAGCATTCAGCAGACCTCCTCCGTAGGGGGATGGAGTAGCTGCCATCAGACGTACAGGAAGGATCTGTCGCGGACCTATGGGAAATAATTATTTTTTCAAGTAATTGGTGTCCGCCTAGCATCTTCATTAAAGGAGAAGTAAGGGGGAATACACATAACGTTGACAAGGCAATCACTTAGCTCAAACTTCAACCTTACATTTCGTATATTATGTTGTTCTTGCTGTTCCATGCAAATCAATTTTTGCATACATATATTTGTTAACAAAGATACTTCCACTCCTAAAAATGAATGGAATAAAAATCTATGGGAAACACAATCTAAATGATATATGATACTAAATGAAGTAAAGTTTCTCTCGAGTTATCAACTGTAGATGAATAAATAATTAGGAATGTTTAATAGGCAGATTTCATATTTCCCTGTATTATCTTGAAACAACGGTAAAAGCATGGATTACGATGGGTGATATTCTGTTTAACATGGAAACCAACTATGGCTCTAAAACAGTGGCTTCAAAATATTAGAATGTCATCAATTGGAATCTTGTTTCCTTTGTGGCATTTTGAATTTAATGTAGTAAGGTGGAACGGACATCATTTGAGCATGGACTATATCATAAAGGGTACCCCTAAATATAGATAATAGATATATAAAGCAAATACTCACTCGGAGGTTTTTCACATGCGAACTTGAGGTACGATGTACATCGTAGTTTTCTCCATCCAAAATTAACCTCCTGATGAACACATCTCCCATTCTCAAATAGGGATGCATCACCATTCGACCAAGCAGGAAATCTGGAAAGGTAGATTACGTTCGGAACAGCAACGTAAACACAGTATAAATAAAAGATATATTTACTTTAAAGGGCATAATCATGAAAGGTTGAAAGGGTTATGTGAGCGTTTTGATTCGAGCTTCAGTTAAAAGGTATATTATTTAAAATGTAAACATAAATAAGTATGTCTTTCTTGCAAATCATGGCCAGGGCTTGCATTTTAGGCTCCCTGACGTATGCATTAAAAAAAACGTGGAAAGTATTAGACAAATTCATTATTTTTCGGGGGGGGGGGGGTGCTATCAATCAATTGGAAAACCCATCCTAAAAATCATGAATATCAACTTGTATCTCAGATAATCATGTTCTTAAAATTACATACCAGCTTATACTTGTGTCTGCAACATTATGATCGCAGTTTGACAAGAGTAGAGTATGTGAGATATTGCTGTGTGTGTATGAATAATACAGTTTAACACATACTCATTACTGTCGAGTTGGGTGCCATCAATCCATTTAAACGTGCCCTCTTGATTGATATCATCGAGTCCAAACCAATAAGAGTTGTCTCCAGCCATCTTCATGAGATGCATCTGGTGAATACATTGAGAGAATATATTAGAAAGAGAAAAATCACCGATGATTACTTCTAATGTGCCATTATCATGGTAGTGGGATAACTTTATCGATGTCTATATAGTATATGACATCATTGAAACTTGAACTAGTTGAAATAAGAAATAATGAAATAATTTTGTTTCCTTATAATGTGCTCATCACAACAATATAGTGCTGCTCTATAACCTTTTCCCAATTGTTTTCACATAACCTAACATAATCTCTATTTCCCTTACATTAATGTTATTGTTTCTATTTTCTATTTTTTGCACACACTATTGATAAATTATTAAAAGCCCGTAACAAATTGTATCACGTTTTATTTACACGTTCCATACTTGGAATTAAACATGTGTTATATCACCATGCGTCCTTACATTTATTTCTTCTGTTTTAGGCTGGGCAAGATCACCTCCTTGATCCTGGCAGTACTTTCTAGCAAATGAGTATGACGTCATCGAGGATTGAGAGATATAGTACAGGGTTCCATCAAGGCGACTCCACTCATTTTCAGGAACATCTACATATTGATTATAAAAAGATGATTGCCATTATTAGGTGTTCATCGTGTTTTGAGACAAAAAGACGAGATAATTACTTAAAACCATTACGTGTTATTATATAGTTTGTATTCATCATGTTCATACTAATAAAACACCTGACATTTACATTGCTATGAATGCGATGAATATCCCATTATTATGAACATTTCGCTACTTCCAAATAATGTAGGTGTCATTAATCCTGCTTTAACCGTAGTTCTCAGCGCGCAGTACATTCCATGAATAATTTATACTAAGTACCCACTTACTACACGTCGGTCGAACGTTAGTGATGTAGCAGGGATTCTTAAAGATAAACTTTAGTACTGGTAATGCGATTGCATTGTGAAAGAAAAGGTGTGGAAAGGATCAGAAACAGTTGATCATGTAGCATGTAAGTATTGGTGTGCACTGCAAGGTTCTGGAGTCATCAAAATCATAATAAATTTGACCGAGTCTTGGTAAAGTAACAAGCACTCACATAGAAAGCTATATATGGGACAACACACATGGTGTCGGGGCTAGTACTACCTTGATTTCCTTGTCTTTCTATGCTCATTACTCAGCCAGTACACATTTTCTTCCAAAATTGTTTGGCACATGTCATTTATTTGTAATCTTGAACATTCAGTGTAAGTTTCGTTTGATTCTGTGAGAATTTTTTTTTTTTTTTACCAGTACTGGAGTTTATCTTTAACCCTCTCCTTGTAGCATGTAGGATAATATGATGCATACGATTTGTGAAAGGTTGTGAAATGTGGAAAATAACTTAATAAATTCTAACTCGCTTTGCATCCTCGCACAAGTGTATTTTGTCATGATCACGTAAATTTACATGAATGAAATCGACACAAGCACTTTCGAGGGGTTGAAACTTTGAAAAAAATCTCTCTTAGATTCGCTTTTACAGTGTAATTTTCATCGAGATCTTTGCGACCTTTGCGATGATGCAAACCCCTAGTCACTGGATAGAATCATACTCTGATGACTTATCCACAAGGGTAAACAAAAACAAAAAATGCACAAGGGGGGGGGGGGGTTGGAGTTGTGTTTGCTCCAAGTCGACAACAGTGGATTAACCCTAATAAGACCGGGGTGCATTATGCCCCCCCCCCCCCTCCACGATTGTTCTGATTGTTCGGGAACGCAGATCGGGATGGCGCCCCGCCGCTCGCTGACTCGCCACAAGGGTAAACAAACAAAAAATGCACAAGGAGGGGGGGGGGGATTGAAATCGTGTTTCACTTTTACCGAATTGAACAAACAAAGCAAACCATTTTTCGTTGTAGAAACGGAAACGATCATGCATCATTGACATGTGACTTACCCTGATAGCGTTCACATATGAAGGGTAGTTTGTTATTGCATGAATCATCACCCCATCCCATGTTTGAATCATAAGGTTGTAGAAAGGCACAATCTTGATTTTCCCCGTCGTTTGGTTGACCAGACCCCCATGAAGAATACCTGTGTGTATTGCATAAAGGAGAAATTAATGAGCAAACAGACGGTTAAACGTAAGAATGGTTTTAGGGGTGCGTGTTTCTATTTGCTTTGTTTTTAGTTTTTTGGTTTAGTTTTTTGCATTTTATTTGCAGATATGCAATCTTAGTTCTGACAAGTGAAGTGTAATAACCCATGTCATATAAGTGCATTGTCATATTCTAGGCTTTTAAATATTTAATCTCTCAACAGTAGTTTTGAGCCGAAACATCTATACTAATATACTTCCTCAATCAAAAAGCAAGTTCCCCCACAATTCTTTTCAATCTTACTCGAGAAAAAAAATCATGAAATTAATGTATTCGAAAAGCAATGTATGCACTGCTGTTATACCTATATTCGGATTGCTAGTAAGAAAATTTTACTTTTGATGCGGATTAAAAATACAAAATAATATACACTTGGACATGTACAAACGATGAAAATCATTAAAAAAGTATGCACCCTCCATTGCATTACGAAAGGCAAAATGCATGGGGTTTTTAGTACTAACTACAAAAATGTCATTATCGAAACATAAGATAGCGATTAAAGTGAGATTAAGAAAGTTTTAGAAAAACAGATTTCATGAATTAATAATTATCTAGTTACAATGAAAAATTTCCATGAAATTTTCGTTATTCTTACTATTTTTATTTATTTTTTTAATATTTTTTTTTGGGGGGTCACTTATCTCGACCTACATGTATATATAATGAGACGAACATTTTACAGATTATATAATTATTAAAGGAGTAATATAAGTACTTTTGAGCTTAGCAGTCATTTCAAAGTAGAAACGACTAACTTTTCACATACAGCTAAAATTCATCGTATCTAGAGATGATTAGTTTAAACGTGTTTAACTCAACAGTTTTAAACATGTTTAAAGAAAATTTTCCCTGTGTGAACATCGTTTATACGATGTTCGGATAGATACGAAGTCGCGATTCATACGCCCCTAAATGCAGGCTGCAGATACGAAGTTCGTATCTAGAGAGCTTGACATTTTGTGTGTGAACTATTATTCATGTTTAAACGTGTTTAAACAAGATGGAGCATGCGCTTTGTTTGATATGACATGACCTTCAATGCGCAATGGCACTACTGCGCATTTTAAGAGCAGTAGTTAAACACGAAACGATTAACGATCGCACCGACATTTCTGTGTGTGAATGATGTCGTATGTACAGCTGATTAGTTTAAAGCCCTTTAAACTAATCCTGTTTATATATTTTTAGCTGTGTGTGAAAAGGCTGCAGGTTGGCATTCCATATTTATTAAACCTACTGTAAAGGTGTTCCATCGATCCATATAAATGTGCCTTCATTAGCTTGGTCAGTCAAACCAAAAAATATCTGGTCATCTGATCCCGAATATTCTTCAGAAATCCTGACATGGAGAAAATTCTGTTGGGAAGGGGAAAAATGTCACCTCATTAACTTCATTCGTTTTTCATGTTTAATAATCAGTTTTAAAAGAATTGGAAATCACAGTGTTTACATGACTGTTATATTACCTATGCTATCAACTACAAATCATCCTTTTTGGAATTGGCATTTGCTTCCGATTTCATCCCGCATTCACGAAGAACCGGTTTGTCTATTAAGTCACATACGTCATTCAATCGTGATATTACTTCATGAAATATTCTTTCCAATATTTGTATAGCTCAATAGCCATGTAAACCTCCAAGCTGTGATAGAAACTACTAATAAAACAACCAAAAATATAATATATGTTTAATGATACAACATTTCAGAAAGCTGAATGAAAAGGGGTACATATAATTGAACATACATTGATATCGTGTGATTTGATGAGTGCTAAATCAGCTCCATGATACTGACAGTAGGTCCGTGCATCTGAGAAAGACCGAGCTAGCCATGACGGAGAGTTGAAATAATCTAGACCTCCAAATGATGCTTCACTATTTTTATCAGATACTGTAATAAAGCATAATTTCTAGTAGAGAGTTTAATGTGATGAGTAAGAGTGTGATATTAACTAAATTGCGTCGGCTTTTCTCTGCCCAATTTAGGCATTCCTCAGATTCTACGGAGCCCTTTGCGGGCCTAACAGTCGATGATTAACTTTGTTTAATGTTCCAAATATGTATGAAAACAGAGGGCGATTGCATTTGTTGTCATTTCTTTAAAAAAAATTATTCATCCACAGTCTGAAGAAGAAACTATTTCGTCGGTGTAAGATTCTCCCTGGTGTAAGAATGCGCAAGATTTGAAAAAAAAAAAAAAAAAAAAAAAAAAAAAAATCATTTTTTGTTCCTGAAATAAACAATTGCAGTGGTATCTTGTGTAGTAGGAGAAAATTGCCAAGTTCTAAATAAGCCAGACATCCCATGGTGGTGTTTGAAAATGGAGAATGCATGTTTTGTTTAAATAACAATAACGGATTTCATTTAGGAAGTGGCGCAATATCCGAAATATCTGAAAATCATTTTAAATTCAGCTTGTACGAATAGAAACATGCTCCAGCGACGATTGCTTTGCAATCGATTTCTTAACCTAAACGAAGTCCAAACTTCAGCCATTTATCCTTAGGCTAACCCCGACCTTAACCCCTACCAACATGATCTAAAGACAATGCGTTTGATATAAATCCCGGAGCTACTGTCGCCAGAACACAATTCACGTTGGATCATCAGATTTCGAACCTGGTGTACGCTCACAAATGTACGGTAGAGATGAAGTACCCACGTCATACCATGAAGCGCCATTACGTACACCAAGACAACCCCAGGAGTTAGCATTACTGGGTTCCGTGGCTCTATACCAATCATTATACCTAGGAGGAAAAACGGTTCATAAATCAAGTTCATATTGTGACCATTGTCATAATTATTATGATTATTAACAATAATAATGATTATATATCATTATAATTAGTAGTACATGTAGTAGTAGTAGCAGTAGTAGGAGTAATAGTAATAGTATTGTTATTAGTATTATTATCATCATCTTCTTCATTATCATTATCATTATCATTATCTTCATCATCATAATTGTTCGTGTAATATTGATAATAATCATGGAGGTTCGGATATACATCATTAAACTGAACTCGAATTTAAATCTGTATTCACATTAACCTCATTCCCCCCCCCCCCCCCTCCCCCTCGATATGCTACAGAAATACTGGAAGTATGTATTATGCCACATTATAGAGCAGAAATCTGGTCGTAACGTCATTATCTTGTAACGCTGAGCCGAGCTTTTTATATTCCGTCTTCTTGATATTCATCTGAAACATAGATATTTCAAAGTATGCTGATAAAGTGTATAATATTTTAAAGAACATTGGATACATTTCAAAAATATATATTTCGCGGAAAATTGTAACTACAGATTAAATATAGAAAGGCATAGGCGTTCATCAACATGTATTTTTTTTCTTCTCTTGACTGATCTTGACAGAACAAACACATGAAGAACATACTGGATTGCAGTATCATCCAGCCAGTAGAAAGTTCCCCTGCCACTTCTCCGAAGCCCGAACAAGAAACAAAAATATTCATCACTACATGTAGAATCTAACGTAGGTAGAAGCGCTTTGAGGAATGTCTGTTAGCAAAATGGAGAAGAAAACAATCATAATAAATGTATAATTTATTCACAAATTTAGTCAGAATGAAAAACCTTGCGTTAGCTGAGATTATTCCTTCTCTTTCGCTTCTCTCTCTTTTATGTGAATGGCACTTTGTCTTTTAATATATATTTTAAATTTGTCGTATCTTGGATATTGCGACATAATGTTTGAATTTAATTGAATATTTATGTTATTATTTCGTCTTTCATTCTAATTAATAGACGATCAAACCTAAATAGCAAGCTAATTTTAAATTCAGCGAAATCCGTTTCATACAAGAGCTTTACAAGAGGCTCGCAAGAAATTATTGATGAAATAATCTTTCACTGGAAACAAATATGTAAAATATGAAATTACCTCTAATATATACAGATAAATTCTGAGCAAAATATACATATTTTGTTGGGAATACTAATTTTCTATTTAAAACTTTTAAGGGGTGTACAGCCGTTCAAAGATAGTATGACCGTTTTTGTTTTGTTTCTTCTAGTTTTGATTTAATTGCATAGCAATATATTTACTTTCATTCGTTTCTGCCGCGTAATTTAGTAAAGCATTGCGTTAATCATGATTATTTGATACACAATAGCCAATTTACGAATAAAACAAATCACTTCAAATGTCATTGCAACCAATCAAGTCCACTATCAACCCCCCCCCCCTTCCCCCGCGAACCACTTGAAAGAGACAACAGACGTAATTTCCTGAGACTATGGTCAGTGGAATCTGGTTCGGCGTTATTTGCGGTGACTAGAGTGGGGTCTCTCCATCGGGGGCGTACAGATTAAAGTTCTATGTACAGGTGTACATGTATAGTTTGCCCTGTAGCGTATATTTTAGTTTTCTTAATTATCTTAATCATCTTGACTGTGTGAATACTGTATAAAATGTGTCACTAAACTTACGTTGACTTCGGCTGTCTTGATGATAGCCAAATCACCGCCATAACTTTGACATGTTTCCCTGGCAGCACTTGGCGTTGCTTGAGGTGTGAACTTGATGAGATACTGAGATTCACCGAACTCTTGCCATCTACGGTCATCGTCTGTAATTTATATAACATTAAATAAACATTACGCTATATTGAAAATGGAAGACAGCTACTGAACTATTACAAACTGAAATATTGGATGGGCTAAACAAATACAAAGTGTCAAAGAGTATATATTACCCGTTTACAAGTATAACGATGCAAGCATTTTACAGCACTCGGCATTCTATTAATGCACAGTACAGATCATTAAAAGGCAATTATCCAACCCGTGTAATAAGTTCATTTGTACGAAAGCACACACAAAAAGATAAACGAAATGGTGACAGTTTGAAATTAATCTGACCAATAATAAGAGAATTATGAATGTTTGAAAAGTGAGATCTCTAAATAAGTGCGAATCTCAAACGGGCAATTTAGCCCTTGGATTGTGACGTAGACACGGACAACTCTATCGTTTGTCATGTACAAAAAAGATCAATACATTTTGTTTGAATGGTTTCTGCTTCCTTCCTTTGGGGTACTACTGAACATTTAAGTCATGTTGTGTGTTGGAACAAATGTAAGGTTTTCCGCCTCTACTTCACAGAAACATTACCGATTCATCCAATTTGAAGAGGCCATACCTAAAGTATTTCATTCCACCTTTGAAAAATTCATAATTTTCTCAAATTTTTGTCCGATGTTTTTCCAACTTTTACCAGTCTGCTACTCTGCTTTTCGAGCTTTCTTCTAGTCTATAGTAGTTTGATATGAAGGTTGGACTGCCTTTAATACATCAAGGACTTCAAGGCAACACGTATTTCTAACAGGTAGACTGTATGATATTACACATTTCTTTGTGCTGTGATTCCAGCTAACATTGTGTGAGAGAATGATATTTTACTTTTTGTGAATTTTTCTCGAAATATTGTCGAAATCCACGAACAAGTGGTACAATATTTTGCGGAAATGGCCGTAAAATTCCACCACAATAAGCTGAGATAGCACGCACTCTCTTTCATGATCTCAGGAATGTATATACAAATCCGGTAAGACTATATTAGAGTGTTGTCTTTATCAAATTCAGTCATATTCATACAAACTTTTTAGAGATCGTCTCGGACATCGTTGTAGACATAGACGATCTCCTCAATATACATCGACCACTCTTTAATTATATTCTACATGGAATTGTGTTGTCATACGTCTGGAAATCATCCAGCAAACCATAATTATGTTTTGCTGGAATTCATATCTTTTCAAATATATGTCACCATTTTAAACAAAATGATATGAAATATATATTTGTAAATTGCATCGAATAACTAATCGAATAATCATACAAACAAGAACATTATAATTGACGAATGAAAATGATTGGGAATTTTGGGATACCTCCTCCTTCCCCTCCAGAGAGCATGATAAATGTTCGTATAGCATGAACATGATGAATTATTGGAATAACATATGGACCAACAAATTCTAGCCTTCAAGAACATCATTTTTGTTGAATCTTTTTTTGTTTTGTTTTTTTCGATATATTATTTGATATATTGTTTTCCTATTTGCTATGCTTTTCTTTATATATATATATATATATATATATATATATATATATATATATATGTATGAATGTTTTTGAATGCTTTTTTATATAATTGTGTGTTTGATGTTAATTTGCATTTTAAGTCTTTGGACTTTTTGACAAGTCTTGAATAAAACCTAACTTGAATTGAATTGAAAAAGAAATGATATCGCGGAATGTTTTTACTTGACATTACCCATTATTGTTCAGAAATCAACATTCACTTCAGTAAATTTGTTACGACTATAAGCTTGGTAAATTATGTAAATTGTACATAATGATTAAGGTAAACGATTTGATTCTTCGTTCGGCTCTTATCATTTATAATTAAAGTTGTATGGTTACGGAAATGACAGCTCATCTAGAGCTGGAAGATCCTCTCGAAATAGTTTATTAAAAAGGAAAATGCGTTTGATCGTTATTTGATATCAAAACGCCTCTCTGGTATAACTGTTTTGATATCACTTAATGATTATGAATTAAATTCAAACACCGTAGATAAAAAAAACTGGGCCAAAAAAGGGTAAACGAAATTCGGTCGTAAACAATTTGTATCATTATGTACCTTCTCTTCGGAATAATTTACCATTTAATTTGAGAATCATAACTTCCTTACAGACCTTCAAACCCATGCTGAAATCTTATCTTTTGTAACAATACCTGTACTATGACACTCATCCAAACTCTCTCATTCTTTCTATTTTTCTTGTGCGCCTCGGAACAGAATTTTCCAGATAGACTTCGCTATATAAATGCCTTTTATTATTGTTATTATTAATCATGTTATTTTACACGCTCCTTCAGAACTAGACTAAACATTTTGAGAACGCAAACTGACTTGAAACACCTACCGATAGGTATTTGGCAGATATGTTGTCTATTTGATGTGCATGTTATTCGGTTCCATAGTCCATTCATCGAGCTACTTCCAGAAGACCTCATTACAGCACAGTAAGGTTTGTCTCTGTTGTATAAATTAGGATCCCAGTTGGCATACCTTTAAAGTGAGTAATTTATATATATCAAATAGAATTAAACAAACAAAAAATAATCATAAATTCCACGGAAATACAAAAAGATATATATTTGAAATAAAGGCCCACTACATCATGACTCGAGTGTCTTTGGAGAAAAAAGAAGAACTTTAAATCTTCTGGTAAATCAAAATGGAGTGTCTATGACTGATTTTATAAATACATTGAATTGGTATATTTTGAATGTAGCTATGAGTTTTTCATTCATTTATTGACAAAACTTGAGTCTAGAGCAAGTATTAGAATTGCATACTATGGCATAAATAGCTGCGACCAAAACATTTTCATTCAGAAAACATGCTTTTAGTAGCATCAATTTGAATGGTCGATTTTGGGATATAAAAGATTCGTGAAGAAAACTTTAGCCGTTTGAACCTGTTTCACGTGACATAGTTCGATTTATTAGGAAAACATTGAAGATTTGGCATGACTCAGAACAACCTGGAATATGAAGATTTGCTCAAAATGTGATATTATGACTCTTAAATTAGATTTTAGACACAGGAGTAGAGCAGTGGTCTCGTAACCGGGAGATCCGGGTTCGAAACCAAGTGACAAGTCAATGCGCTACTGCAATTTGATAAGCCATTAACCTTCATAACCAAGTCCCTCGGAGAGGACTTACGGCCGTCGGTCCTCTAGTTGCCTGCCGACTCTAAAACATACACATGCTTTCCTAGCAGTCAGGTAAAACCAACCAACCTATCAAACAAAAGTGTTCGGGTTTCACACAAAAAATAATTGCACAGTCGGTCATTAATTAACTTTTCTTGGTTGACATTTGTCAGGGGTGCAAATTGCCGCCCTTGACCCTCCCTTCAAACGGCCAATGCCCCCCTTCCGCGCTCGCGTGCTTATCGTTATTATCACTGACATATTATATTCGTTATAGGAAAATGATTTGGAAAAAAATGAGTGGCATTTTATCAAGATAATAGTTGATACATACACAGGGTCCATTCCATCAATCCATTTGTATTCACCATCCTCATCCATGTCTTCTAAGCCGATGTAATAGTTACCATTCCTCGCCGGTAATATCGTGGCAATGAAAGCCTATTCATATTATGAAGAAAAGAGAAATACATTGGAGATTGATATCAACGTGGCGCATTGCAACATTGTCTAATTTCGGGGGAGGGGCAAAGTAAACACGCCCCCCCCCCCCCCCCGATTCAAAGGATTAATATCTTAGTCGCATGCAATTGCGTTCAAGGCTCAGCCCTCCACCAGTTTAGTAAGCGTATGCATGTTCCCTCCCTTTGAAAGCACACCCCCCCCCCCCCCTCCCCTAAGTTGTGAGTATTACGAGCCGGACTTTGATGCGTGAAAAGTACCCCTTTTCCGGAGACTTGGGAAACATGAATGCGGTCCCTCCGTTCCCGGAGTGGAAGGGGGGAGGGGGGCGGGGCTCAGCCCCCTCGAACTTTCGGCTCATTGCAGTAGTGGTTACAATGGGAATGTTCAACCAGTATTCTTAAAATTTTCAATCGGAGTTTTAGATGTCACATTTTCCAAACACGTCAACGTATAAAGACAAAGGTTTATGTTTTTAATTTCACTGGTGGGAAATCGAAGTTTTTGTTTGTTTTTATCTGAGAATTATACATGGTGTACCTGTTTGGTGGTTGGATTAATGCCTATACCGGTCAATAACATAATTCTTGATGAGTTTAACTTCATAGAACATCTGCCAATTAGAATACGATTTTTACTATCAGTCTTGACAACATTCCACCGCCCTATTCGTTCTGAAAACACAAAGAAGGCGCCAGAAAATCATGATAATTCATAAGAATAAGTAGGCAACGGTTAACAAATGTTTAATTTGAAAAACGTTAATACGGTTGGCTTCATGAAAATTCTGATAAATATCTAATGTTATAGACGATAAAAGTGCGTACGTACATTTTGACCAGCTGATGTAATGATTGGCATGTCACCTCCTAAGCTCTGACAAAGTGCACGTGTGTCGGAGAATGTCTTGTGGACATCATGGTAAAAGACATACTGATAGCCACCATACACATTCGACCCCGATGTAGAACACTCCCGACATTCAACTGTAAGATAACAATAAGAGACAATAAAGCAACAAGTGATTATTCACACTGCAGTGGGGCTCTACCCCCCCCCCCCCCACTCCCCCACCCCATCACCGTTTTCGAACTGCCCATAAAAAAAATGGAGGGAAACATTTGAAAGAATTTTTTTTAAAAGAAAAAGAGGAATACGGAAGTAAAAGGAGGATCTGACATTAATCCCTTTCACCTTCGTTTTATAGCCCCTTTAATTAATTTGATTTTAAGTGGTAGGCAACTATTCCCTTCCCCTCCTACACATTTCCCAGGGACGTCTTATCGTTCTAGTTCTTTCCTCAATCATGTTGGCAATTGACTGTCTGTCCTGTTTAACGAATTTTCTCCAGTGCTTCGTCCCACCTCCCAACCCCTCCACACGTGCGCTTTCCTAGATTAAGATCAATGCTCATATTGCATCCAAGCAACTAAACCCATCTGATCCATTTATTATTTCAAATAAAATTACTTTTTTGTTTTGTTTAGAATAAATACTTATTTACCCATCATACAGTGGGAGCACATAATAGAGTGGGAGCACTGAGGTGAATGCTCTTGACTCTCGTACAATATGCCCCTCTCCATGCCCTCAGGTGTATTAAATGGGTACCGGGGCCAACCGGGCAATGCCGGGGTATATATAATTACGGTACACACGGGAAGGGCTGTATTAATACTGATATGGCTATCCTGGATGTGTACTTATACCATGGAGTTGCTTATACCCACTGTTTCAGGTGAATATCATATGTATATGGTTCTATGTTGTCGTTTTATAATTGTGAATGTAAGTTCATTTTAATGAATCTTTAACCCTATGTTAACTGGGGGGATCAATTTGACCCCCCCCCCCCCACCCCCTGTTGTAATTTCGCGACTACTCCGAAACCGCGGCAGATTAAGTTTTCCTTTCATGACTTTTTTCTTTCGAGTGTTACGCATCTTTTTTTTAAAAAAAATTTCGAAAATCAGACGTATAGTTACAAAGTTACGTGACCTTTGTGTACAATTTGTGTACAAAACATATGGGGTCAAAATAGTTGAATTGTAGTTAGAAATGAAATAAAACTTAAAAAACAATGAAATACATAGGAAATTATCAAAACAAGAGATAACATAAGGAATAACATGGCTCTTCCAATTTGTTTGTGTTGTATTATTATTCCAAATGGTCTAACAAATATATATAGTGGAAACACATGCTTAAATATGAATAATATATGATTTATGGGTAAAAATGTGAATTTTATGACCTTATTTGTATACATTACCATACATAGGCAAATGGGTGAATTTTTCAAAAAATTGAAATTACCATGGTATTCTATACACTTCACTTGACATGCATGCACGCGGCGATCGGCTGTGAAACGGCCGAGATCTTAGGGGGTCAAATTGACCCCCCCCCCCTCCCCTCCAGTGAAAACCCGGTCTGAAATAGCCCAGTTAAAATAGGGTTAATAGTGATAGCATACTGTTCACAACAAAAAAAATGACTGGTGGTAAACAATAAACAAGTGTTGATACTTTTGAATTCCATAGGCCATTCCATTCTTTTGGAATTGAATAGTAAAAACATCCAGTAAGTTTAATACAAACCTGTAATAGACGCAAGAATCCATATCAGAGTAAGTGACAGGAACATCCTTAACCATCCAAGTATTGAATCCCCAGACATTGTCAATATCACAGAAACACAGAGAGTGAATAGTGAAGTCCAATATTTAATATTATCAATTCCCTTCTATGTACACATATCAAAAAAGATTGTGCTTGTACTTTTAGTAATATCCATTGCTATATATCCTGGTATGACGGAGCAGCTTGGAATGGCCTGTGATCTGATTCCAGTACCCAAATATTGTGAGAGATTATTGAAAAGAAAGTCGATTATGCCATGTATCAAATTATAGGCAATGTACTTCCTCCTTGTGGGATAACACCGCTAATCAGAGGGTAGCGAGAGCAGCTGAGGTATGATGAAGTGTACCGCGCGAAGTGAAATAGATCAGAGTTTTGATGATACGTTTGTGGTAGAATGTACTTTGTGAATCAGTCATGTTCTACATGGACAAAAGGACACCAGAACAGGCTATTTTGATCATCACAAAATGTCCACGCCATGACGTGGAAAAGCCGAGTATGACTTTTTTGTACAAGGTTATTTCCGCTTTCCAGGCTAATCGTTTTCTAAAAGGGCCACAGCTGAAATAACAAATACATCAACCTGTGATATCGATAATTGATACTTTGGTTGTATCCATGTCTATGAAATGAAATTAATCTGCAAATTCAATCTTCATCAAAGTTATTATAAATAACAATCTATTGAAATGATTCTGTACGATCCAAGAATATTCACACGACAGAACTTTTGCCTCCATCAAAGGTACTATGTTCCATTTGCAGGCCCAAAAAAATGAAAAGGTAAAATTCCAACGGTGTTTGAAAGACAATACTAATTTAAAACTTCCATCAAAACGAAAGGGCTTGAAAATATATTTCAGGGGGAAGATAACGACCATTAGTTGTCGAATCGAATTAAGTTATTGCAATGTCTGATTTTCAGACCCTTTTACCGAATGGTCGTCCGTTTTATGCTGCACACAAATTTAATCAGTTTAATTTTAGCCATAATTTTGGCCATTACAGGTAGTGGGTTATTGATGCTGACAAATTATAATGTACTTGTACCTATAACAGCTCATTTGATGTGTGTTATTACCAAATAAAAAGTCAGTCAGTCACTCAATAGTGTCTGACAGTGAAGTCTAGAAGGTAAAAGGGTTTCCTTGCATAATTTGAATACTAGGACACTGCTAATGTTTAAATTACACAGATAGGGCATACATGACATATTCATAATAATTCTCGCAAAGTTCTACAGAATTTGATGTTGGCTGCAAAAGGGACATAGTATCTTTAAACGATTTCATATTTGTATAATTCTAGAACAGCGCTCTTAAATTTTCGGTCCTCATTTTAATCAGTTCAACCGACCCTGTGTCTAAGATCACGTTTAACAAAAGGAAAATATAGACCTCATACTCACTTCCTTAGTTAAACCAGATTTTGAACAAAATCTAAAACCCAGTGCCGGGTTTAATTTTCAGTAGAATATTGGTAGAAGGTTCTAACCTTTCAGTCATTACATATTCAAATGAATATCCATGGATTTGAGAATAAATGGAAAAGGTAAAATATTAATCTATGGTCTATTGATAGTAACCAAAGAATGTGAATAATGTGGACTGCGATCTGGGTCCCGTCTTATAAAGAGTTGCGATTGATCCAAATCAATCGCCAGTCCCCCGATCAATCGCAAGTTTGCAGTCTCCTTTCTCTTATGTACATAGTCAGGCGCGTACGCAGGGGGGGGGGGGGGGGGGGGGGGGGTGTATAAGTTGCGATTAATATCAACTCTTCATAAGACGGGGCCCTAGTAGTATTTGTTGAGGATATGCGCAATAAATTGTACTGGAGGGCTAAATTAATAATAATTAAAGAATTATGTTCATGATCTCTATCCTTTACAGAGCTGTAGTCGCCTGTTGGGTGTGAAATTATGGGTGCGTGTGCGTTCGCTCGGTGTGGGTAGGTGTGGGGAGGTCCCAACCTCAATATCGGGTAAGGGGATCGATGCACGTCTAACAACAACCAGGAAGGGGGCTCCTTGGTATTTCCCATGTAGAAGATTACCATAGTAGATGCTCCATAAAGTGATTGCACCATGAATAAACAGTTCCCAACTGAATGGCGACAAAATTCTGATTCCACGCTTGTGTCTTGTAGGTATACTAATGGTCAACGTTTGATATAAAGTTGTTCCTTTCTTTATGTTTTCTATTCATCATAACAGGGAGATTCATCCTATCCAAAAATAAGTTTTTACTAATATCACTGAGGGTGTTAACTGTACAAAGATAATTCAAGCAAAAGGAATGTCCTTTTTTCACCGGGGCACGGTCTCTTTGCATCCTTTGTCAGTTGAAGGTTTCTGCTTGGTATGGTGGTATTGTGTTATCATACCTCCATTGTTAGTGATCGGCGAGGCGCTTGCTTGTCTGGATAACCGCAAACTGACCAATACACAATTGCATCGTACTGGGTTTCGCAGGGAAAGCCCCTGTTAAATAAAACTCATCGGTGTACTTTATAACAGGGACTGATCGTATATTTAAATTGTCAGGGGATGAAGGCCCATGATACTCTTTTGAAAATGAAAGTTATTTTGAAAAGAATACAAGGCCATAGGATTACTCTATCTTTCCTATACACTCTGGACGTTTTTAATCATACATTAATCCTTAATATAATTAATGCAAATATGATTTTATACAAGTCCTGTATGAAGCAAATCTATTCCACCATCAATAACTTAAAAAAAATGAAAGTTTATGACATTTTCTATACAGAGCAAATTGGAGAGGAGATCGCACTGTGTTGTCAATTAGTGTTTAAAGGTACTATGTCCCATTTGCAGGCCCAAAAAATGAAAAAGTTAAATTCCAACTGCATTTGAAAGATAATACTTATTTAGAACTTCCCTAAAAAAAGGTGGGGCTTGAAAATGTCTTCAAGTGGGAAAATAACGACTATTAGTTGTCAAATCGACTTTAGGGCTATAGAGCCCAAAAGTAATAGTCTTGATTTTCAGACAATTGTACCGAATGGTCATACATTTTATGCTGCGCAAAGATTCAATCAGTTTAATCTTGGCCATCACAAGAAGTGGGTTATTGATGTAGACAAATGCTCATGTACCCTTTACAACTCTTTTCATGTAGTTATTACCAAAGAAGAAAAAAAGCCAGTCAGTCACTCAATAGTGTCTGACAGTGAAGTCTAGCAAGTAAACGGGTTTCCTTGCATAATTTGAATATGAGGAAACTGCTAACGTTTAAATTTCACAGATAGGACATACATGACATATTCATAATTCCTGCAAAGTTCTACAGCATTTGAGGTTGGCTGCAAAAGGGACATAGTACCTTTAACTGATGACAGCTTCAAAAAGTAAACTTTCTAATCGGATATTGATCAACCTTCCATTAATTTGTTTCTCTTATTTTTCTGCTTTGATTGCAACCAACTTAATATCAGGGTTGATTTTCCCTTTAAACTTATCCGTTTTAGTTAGTGTCGGGCATTGAGGAAATGCGAACTGTTGAATTTTTGAATTCAGCATTATATGGCAATCGGCCAAATTCGACTATTATCACCAACTATATTTTGTTGTTGCTCTATGTACAAGTGCAAACGTTTAATCAAAAACGAGATAGACTGACTGAAGAGTGCACCTCATTGAAACTGTGTTAGAAGACCATGGTTTGAAAGAGATACACAATGTTCATGCATTGCATACACGAAAAGTGCTTGTTGACCCGAATATTGGGGATGGCTAATTGATTTTAAATAGACTTCATTTCTATGACTTTGCGATCATACAGAGCTCAATGTAACCTTTGTACCGATATATCCTTTTTAATTCTTATACACCACTCTCTCTCTCCCTGTTTCTCTCTTTCTCTCTGTGTATCTCTATTTCTCTCTCCTCCCCTCTCTCTCTCTCACTCTCTCTCTCTCTCTCTTTCTCTGTCATTCTTTCTATCTTTCTCTTTGTCGTTCTCTCTGCCTGTCTCTCCCTCCCCCTCTTTCTTTCGGAGTTACTGTATAATGAGAAAGGTGAATTGTGTATTGTCGAGGTGACATTATGATCCTGCACCATTTCTTATACAGAGTTGCGTTTGATCAAAATCAATCGCAGGTCCTTAAATCAATAGTGTAGTATCCATACTGTCATGCTGCCATCTAGTGGCAAGAAGAGTATCTTGGTATTATTCAATGTACGGAAAGCTACAACACGCACCACGAATAAAATCGTCATATGCAACAATCCAAATCATCGCGCAGATCTCTTATTTTGTGTACGCAAGGCAACATTACAACGGCGGCGAGCAGGGGCAGCGATTTCTTTTCATGACCGGGGGGGGGGGGCGAAATGCGATGGACGAGGGAGCAGTGGCGTAATGAGGGGGGGGGGGCAGAAAAAAGATCCGCATCACCACCACTCTTAAATGTTACCTAGGCCCTGGGAACATTTTTTAAAAGTGGGGGGGGGGGGGGGGTGCTAAAGTATTTACGATCAGGTAGAGCAAAGCAAGGTAAAGTGGAGCGTAAATTTGCGTGGGTCCAGGGGTAAAGCCCCGGCGGTGTCAAGGGGCGTTTTGGGGAAGATTTGGGGAGATTTTCCCGATCAAATAGGGTGCTCTGAGGGCTTATCCTTTTCTCTGAACTGCAACAAAACAAAATCCCGTATCAGCTAGATTGACAAGGGTTGATTTTTAATGGCATGGCTTATCAAGGGAAAATAGAAGGGGTTTGTAAATCCACGTGGACCAGGAAACAGGAAATATTACTGTAAGGTAACAATTTCGGTGGTAAAATCAAATGTGCTATTCAGCTTCCTTTTTTCCTTTTTTTTAATGAAGAGTGCAAATTGATTATTTTTGCATTGTGTGCTTGGAAAATTGTACTTGAGGAACAATTCCATAATCAGAGACTCATTCCATTGCATAAGATATTACCGAGGTCCTTGATGTTGTAATCGGCGTCGTAGTCATCTTCTTCGTCGTTTAAAAAAAAAAAAAAAAATCTCGATTTTTTTTTTTAAAGGCCCATCGTATGCTCCTAAAGACAATAAACTGAGAGTGAGCGAGAGAGAGAGAGAGAGAGAGAGAGCGAGAGAAAGAGAGAGAGAGAGAGAGCGTGTGAGAGAGAAAGAGAAAACTTTTAAACATTTATTTATTAAATGTAAACGTACACTCATATTTAACTCGACATGCTCATGATTACCATCTTAATAATCCCAAACTTAGTTTAGCCCTACGATCAATTAGACACCATGGACCAGATATTTGGAATAACTTACCAAACCATATTAAAACTAGGACCTCCCTGTATTCTTTTAAAGCTTATTTGAAAGCATATTTGTTAACTCAGTATAGTTTACTAGATCTTACATAGAAATTTAAAAATTATCTAATTTGTTATGTCTTGAATTGTTCTGTCTTTGTCAACAGAAATGGACCCT